GATGACAGCAGTATCAATTAAGTTACGTCGCGATTCATGACGTAATTTATTATCTCCTTCTTACTTTAAAGTTTCCTATTTCATCGCTCTTCCAGGAAACTGATTCGTGCAAAGATAAGTTGCAATGAGATATGAACCTCACTCGATGTGAGGTTAAAAGGGTTAAAAGAACATAACGTATCGAAAACTTTGATCAATATGAGAAACTTCATGAACTTTCGATCATGACATTCTGTAAACATAAAATATATTGGAAGATATTATTTAAATTTAAGAGAAATTAATAAATACGTAAATATAGATTAAATGTCATTGTTTTAAATAAAAAAAGTAGATAATAAAATTTCTATATTTCTGCAGCTATATCCATAATATATGTGTAAAATATGTCTATTTATTATTATAACATAAAATATATATATAATTATTATTACATAAAATGTTTCTCATAAATATCTAAACTCATATTTACTAGATACTAAATGTGAATCAAATAATTTCAATTATTTGAAAAAATGAACTGAAGCTTTTCAAATTAAATAGTATCTTACTTTTACTTTTGTTTTTTAATTATATATTGCATTGTCTTTTAGAAACATATAATGTGTAAGATGTATAAGTATGTCTTAGTGTGTTAATGAACTTGAATCTTTAGAATCATTTGTCAAAAATGATTTGTAAAAATTAATTATCTCTTCGAAACTGTAGGTATAATCTTGAGCTCATCGCGACATCTTTGAAATAATCAATAAGCTGAATGATTTATAGAATAATCGAAGTCTATCTTATCGACGATTTTAATTATTTTTAGCAATAATATCAACAGACGGTACGTAAGTTAGAATACTGGATAAGCACGAATTAAACATTAGCACGTCGTCGCTGATTAATCATTACAATTCAGTATTATTTAATTCTGTCAGCAGAAAAGTCAGAACATATCCACGGTCAATAATATACCATCAAAAATTTTTTTCAAGTCAAAATTTAAATATTCTTCCGGTTTAAACGTCACATCTTTTAATATTAACAAATATCTCTCAATTACTTCTCTAAATTATTTTGTCATATTAATATAATTTTTCGATTAAATTAGCCATTGACAAAAATTATAATAATGAACACCATAGTACGTTGTTGACTCAGCTCGTATGTCATCAGAATATACTAATTACAATATACGGATTAATCATATACGGATGATTAATCATATACGGATTAAAAAAAAAAAATAGCCTTTACCTTTCCATGAATTGACCTTCCCAGAAAGATGTTGCGCGAAGAAAGACATATTATTACAATGCATATAGATAGAAAGATTGCAACAAATAAAAAATGAATTGAAGTCGAATTCTGCGTGTCATATATCAAATGTTCATCGATCAATCTAATTCATTTCTTTATGAAATACTATTATCTATAAAAATCGTAAACTTGACAGACAAGAGAGTGGAATGAGATTAAAGCGGATAGATTAAAGCCATCGGTAAAAGTATCATCGCATCTATGCATAGATGGAAGTCTGAAATATATGCTTGTCGATGCGATTCAAGGCCTCGACATTGACTCACGCCGATCGCCTCAGTTTGACTCACAAAAAGCAACGGCGAAAATAATTATCGTAAAACCGGTCGAACATTATCTGCGGAAGATATTCGATTGTTTGTACTCTATAATTAACGAAGAGTAAACGAACATATGTTTAAGGCGCACAAGGTTGAAGCTATCGCGTATCAATCGATTTTTATTTGATATAACATACTGGTTAATAACATTGTGACATAATGGCAGACGTAATAAACCACCACTATGTAACGATAATCGAT